AGTATTTCTTTTGTATTCACAACTTTATATTCAATCTCACTTTGTATTTATAACTTTGTATTTTCATCTCACTTTTGTATTCATATATTGTTGTATTCAACATATAGTTCATGATCCATTAGTTTGTATTTTACCTTTCAAAGTCACTTTGTATTTCAAATGAAGAGAGTATTTAATTTTTTTTGTATTCACAACTTTATATTCAATCTCACTTTGTATTTATAACTTTGTATTTTCATCTCACTTTTGTATTCATATATTGTTGTGTTCAACATATAGTTCATGATCGATTAGTTACATTAATTTAATGGGATACAAATTATTGTATGCATTCAAACAGAAAAAGCAGCTACTAAACTAAAAAAAAAAACAATTTCATTCGTTAGACATCATAATTTGGATACAAAACATCAGAAAAAAACTATAAATCCCAATGCATACAAAGATTTCACTGATTCAATCAGAAAAAATAACACTCTTGTACTCGACATATACGAATATCTCATCCAAACAAATAAAAAAATCGAAAAAAAATACCTTATTGTTCACTGGATGTGACAAATTTATAGCTGTCAATTTTGAAAAATTTTGTTTCAAAAATACGTCGTATTCAACTTGAAGAAGCTTTGAAAGTTATCAGATGAATGATTCGAAAGACAAACTTAAAATTATTTTAAATTTTTTTTTTTTATAGTTCTTAAAAAGAAAGAAAAAAAACGCTTGACGGAAAGATGGCTATTTATGCTCTTTTCAAAACGTAACTGTATTTGTATTTAAAATCTTTTTTACCTTTTTTGAATTCTTTTGTTCCATGATTTTCTCTGTTCTGTTATTAATTATTTGTATTCTTTCAAATTAATCAAAATAAAATAAATACATAACTAATCCCTTAACGAACTAAAATAATGACATTTTTAATAAATAATGAAATTGTTGCTAAAGAATCCCACTAAAAGCTAATATATTGCTATTGTGAAATTTTCCCCTTTTTAATATTAAGATTAATTTGTAGAGAGATAATATTTTAAATATCCATTACAAAAATTTTAATTAAATTAAAATGTAAATATTTAATTTTTTAATCAATATTATATATAGATAAATAAATAAAATATTAATATAATATTAACATGATGATTTAAATATAATTAAAAATATGGAGAAAAATAAATTGAAAAACCATTCTACAAAAAATAATACGTATTGCTTTGTTAAAAAGGATTCTACATAATTTAATGGTACAAAAATATTAGGGAAAATTGTATATAATATCAAACTATTAATTCAAATTAAATGCTATAACCATAGTTTGATTTAATTGTACCTCGTAGCAAACTGTTGCTATTTTGCCTCTCTCCCTGGTGAATCTCGCTCGCCACTCTCGTTCTTGCTGGGCAGTCTCGCTCGCCTCTCTCGCTTTTATACAAATACAAATGTATAAAATGTGTTTGTGTTTGTATAAAGCGAGAGAAAATTGTATATATACATATATTTTCGTTCTCCTCTCTCCCCTCTCCCAGATCTCGCTCGCCACTCTCGCTCGCCTCTCTCTCTCGCCTCTCTCACTTTATACAAACACAAATGTATACATTGCGTTTGTTTTTGTATAAAGCGAGAGAAAATTATATATACAAATACAAATGCATATATTTTCGTCCTATACACTTATGATTATACAAATACGATTTTTCCTGCCCAGTTTTCTTTTGTCTTTCTCTCTTTATACAAACAAAGATTATACAATTGATTCTTTTGTATATGTATACCGAAACAAATTATACAATTGCTTCTTTTGTATATATGTATAGCGAAATAGCCATAACAAGCATAATGTTTGCTATGAAGCGCAATTATGCAAACTATAGTTATAACATACAAAT